ATAAAAATGGTCACCTGACTGACTAGCAAAGACAGTTGAGCATTCGATATTTTTGTAAAGGAATAAACTCTGATTAGTGTTCTGTGGTGAGAGGTAATCAGTAGGAAGCCCTACTTGACGTAGCTCTTATGGTTGTTGGTAGTAGTTAGCAAAGCTTATCTGCAATCTCAAAGGAACTGATACCTATGGAATATCCAAACCTGCCTCACCGAGAGTTTCAGATAGAGACCTCACCGCCGAGCTACTGGGGCAGCGATTGACTTTTTATGGAAAGAGATTATTGGTAGCTTCCTTGGATGTAGCACTGAGTGACATGGGTTTGAATCTCTGATGGGACATTAGTCATTTCGCAGTTGCAAATACGCCTTGATGATGAGTGACAATAAACCTGTGAGGTCGAGCGGACCTTCCTACCGATTACCTTTAACCACCCAACATCAACCAGAGTATACTACGATGGTGATTCTCCTAGCTTGCAAAGTACTCAGTCGAATTCACTCAGTCCATTAAATTATATAACAGGAAATTTGTTACTCTGCAGTGACCAGCCAAAGAGCACTGCCATTTTTATCCGAATAAAAATGACCCCTTTTTTGACATAGTGGTCAGTATGTGTGGTAGAAGGCTTACTTAAAAAGAGGTGGGTGTAGTAGAGATGCACACTGTTACCCACTAAATACAAATACAGTTTCTGAGCGTATAGCTGTCATACTTTTGCCATTTGTATGCTTGTAACTGACTGTTTTAATACTTTTTGGGCGGTTTAGTGGACCAAAACGATGGCTGCCTGATAAGGCTCCTAAGAATGAATAAAGTATTCCGCCATTCACAAAGGTAACATACAATCTTCCAGTGTTCATTGTTTCAGTTCGTATTAAAGGACAGAAAATGTCCCTATCGTGTTGACACGAAAATCAGTTCAATAATCAGTGTTTAAAAGATTCATGAAGCATAGACATTTAATCCCTAATCAGAAATTTGGGGAATTAAGTTGCACAAAACGCCGGGTTTATTCGAAACTTAGTCCTCAGTTATCGGCCATCTCTTAACTTTCTGTCAAATCATGAATCCCAGGTATATTAACTGGTACTTACTTCTAGCCGCATTGCCTGATATTAAAGCGGAATTTGATTGTCTTTCTATATTCTACTGTAATGTCTGGTCAGGCACCTTACAAATATGTCACTCTTTCGAAGGTTGACTTTCTGAATACACATTACCCCCATCTTAGTCAATGCTGAACTATTCTTTATAGTAGTGTTTGGCTGGGTTGGTTACTGTCTTCTTCTGTTTTCATCCAACTTTCTTGTAAATGTAGTCTACTTTTGCAACTTTTTTGAAATTCATCAAGTAGATATTTCTTAACGTACTTAAACGACATAAACACATCAGAAATATCTTGACTTCGTGACTGAAAGAGGAATTAATCTTGCCCCCAAATGGACTGTTGTCATATAAAATGAACTGAAGCATCCTACTGTCTTCTGCTTTAGTCAAGTAGGAATGTATAATAAAACTTGGGGAAACTTTATCTATCAGTGGGTGATCTAAATAAAATGACTGATGCTTTTAATTCCATATTTTGACTTATGATTAAACAACCGCTATCATTTCAAGATATCTTTAAAGCTGAATTGAAATACCGCCAAGTTAAGTCATATCTGTTTCGCATCAGTTATTATCAGTCACATATAATATCAACCGTGCTGAAACTACGCTCATCACTAAGATGAAATAAGTCATTTTAAAGCGTAGACGTTTTCTTCACAAATAATAATAATGATTATAATAATGAAACAACAGCTTTGATGTGGTTATTTATGAAAAGTGAAGTGATTCCAACAATACCCTTGTAACGGAGTTGTAAGTGCATTCCATTTACATTATCATGATAACTAACACAGCTGATAAAATTCTGTATTACATCTTACACTGAACAAGTAGTGTTTGGATTACACTCTATCTGTTGTATCTCTTAAGTTAACTGTAATATTCAGTCATTAAATAGTTCCAGTGAAGGCTTGTAGGAATTTATGTGTTGATTTCAGTTTAGTACTCATCATGGATTGATATCAGGTGGGGAACCATTGAAAACCTGGGAGGAGTGGATAGTTGTTTCCGTCCAGTATGGGACTCCCCGGGCAGTACGCTCCCACTACCACACACGGGATCGAACCCAGGACCTCCAGGTTCCGCAGCCAACTTCGTTTACCCCAGCGGTCACAACTTCCCATTGTAATTTCGGGAATCTCTTCTCGAAGCAAGTCACTGATGATCACTAGACAGTAATTCATTCAGGACTATCCGTTCTGTTTCTACTTTCTTCTTCTTCGATAAGTATTAAGGAAGTCCAAGCAGATAACTTTGAGGGTGCTTGTTTGAAACCGACTGTAACCTAGTTTTTCTCCGAGTATCAAACCTTGTTATGGTTTGTATGAGCCATCCACTGAACAAAACTGTGTCATATGATATTGTTGACGGTGTTATTTAGACTTCCAAGTCTTCAAATCACAACTATCTCATTTTGTCTCAGCTAGTAGTCAGTTACTTATCCCCCCCCCATCTAGTGAGGTACAATTCCGATTGGACCAATAACACCTGTCTGGAAAAACAGTGTGATGAAATGTGAACAGTTGTATTTCTCTTGCATACATCACTCAAGGGTATATTTTGGTGGAAGACAGGCATGTTGGTTAGCAAATTTTGAAGTTTGGTCGCTAGAATATCGAACTAGTTGCTCCTAGTGTTTCTTCAACTTCGGTCGTCGTTGACATATCAGTCAGTGAGTGCAGTGATCAGAAATATCACGATAAAGTAGTGTGTGATGGGTTGTAACTGTTCAGACAGATATATGACAGATACATTGGTTTATTTCTGACGGCGTTCTGAATGGGGCTTGCATGTCTGTCGATATCCACATTGACTATTGCTGTTCTATACAACTTTGGTTAATTCTACAACCCTATAGACTGTCATTTAAATACGACTGAGTCTATGTTACTGGATTTGAGCTACTGTAAATACTCGGCCTATGGCAGCTGGTTGGTGGGATTGTTATTGGGATTGTGTGAAATTTACTTTTTGGAATAATAAATAACCCTTGTTCTTCGTAAATCATTCTGAGGTACTAGTTCTAGTGAATCCTAAGGGTAGATAATTCAACTCATAACTGTGTTCCAAAAACGGAACGTAATTAAACATTTTTTCATTGTTCGTCAATTAACCAACATATTTTACTGAACTCTGTATACCCAGTTGAATAAGTATGTTCTTGTACTGGAGGATCCATTTATACTTCAAAGTTAAGTAAATTATGAAATAGGTGGGAAGAGGGACCCTCATATTATGAGGCTTAGAAAGTTGGAAAGACATTGGCAACTGAACTAGAATGCATCGTTTTTGGTATGACTGTCGCGAATATTATTCAGTAAACACTAGGATATAACTATTCAATAGACTAAGACGGAATCTTTGCAGTCGTTTCGTCTTAACATGGGACTCCTTGACAGTGGGTCACTAGATTCATAACCATGGAACCTGAAGGTCCCGAGTTCGAGCCCTAGTAGGAGTCATGGATGCAGCACTGACATGAGATTTAATCTCACAGCAGACATCACTTCTCTCGATGGTGTAGATAAGCCTTGGTGACGAGTACCAACAGATATGAAACTTAATTCCAGAGTTTCCAGGTGATTACCTCCAAACAACTAACACACTAGAAATGTATTTATTACCTTACATCCTTATATGTCACGTAGTATTACCTCTGTGCTGTATTTGTAAAGGGGGAAATGAATACCATCGAAAAAGTTCAACAATGTCATGAGAACTTAGCAGAAGACAATTCAATGAATATATTTTTTTCGACAGATTTTCGGAAGCTGTACATCCATATTTATAGTTACAGTAAGGAAGTATAAATGCATTTGTTAAATTTTACAGAGCATTTTCAACGATAACACAATATTTACACTTTTACGATGAACTATTTTTACAGTTAAATTATACGGGCTACTACCACTTATGCACATAAGACTAAGACATTCACCCCTTGAGATTGATTATACACCTTAAAAATTGTTTACTACATCTCATGAAGATCCAGCTTTGTTGGCGTAGACTTAGATAATTAGTTCTAAGAAGTGATTTCCAGTTACAATAAACTCACTTCGATAACGTGTTGTATGTATCTGTCAGTCTTCGATGAATAACAACTTGAAATATTTCCAAATCTCCACAACCCCCTCAAAATTTAATTGAACTAGTGCTCGTTGGTGACTAGCTTCGAGAAGTATTCCCGAAGTTCCAATGACAAGTCGTGACCGGTGGAGTCATGCCTGATGGCCATGAGGACAAATACTCAACGATGACATTGGGTGGCGGTTTGCGCTATATCGTGAGCTAACAGAAGTTGGAAATATGGAGCGTTGGATTCTAACCCAGTGGCTCAATGGTAACGCGCTGGTCGCGGAACCTGAAGGTCGCGGGTTCGATCCCTGCTGGTGGGGTCGTGGGTGCGCACTGCTGAGGAGTCCCATACTAGGACGAAACAGCTGTCCAGTGCTGCCAGGTTTCCTTTGTTCCTCCAACTGATGTCAGTCTTCGATGAATAACAACTTGGCATACATAATACTTATATCAGTACCCTAAACAAAGTCTAGTAGCCAGCATTACTATTACTTGCCTTTACTCAATCTGTTTGAAATTTATTTCTACCAGAGTCCATCATATGTATTCCAAATAACCCATTATTTCCTTCGCACCGACAGTAGCGTTAAGTCCAAATGAAGCAGTTAATAACAATTCACCGTAAACACTAATAAGCAGTCTGACCTTGTAACCTTAAAATCAGGTTCAAAAGATTGTAAGATAAAAAATCATTAAGTATATTACAGTACACTGCATTGTCATGTGATATTTCAAACGAACCAACTGAAATTCAGTTTTTAGAAGTCACTCATTGGCTCATACAACACTGTAGTGGTCAAATACATGCTGCTAAATAATATGATCAGTTAGGTGTCATACATGTGAAGTTTACAAAGCGGAATAAAGGAGCAATACTTTAATTGTTGTTCAGCCTAAAAGTAATTGATTATAGGGCGTATGTAGGATAATTCTAATTGTATTGTATGTATTGTGTGTTTGTGTGTTCGTTTGTCATGGGGTGTGAATAAGAAAAAAGAAGAGTAGGTTGTATTGACGTGTGTGTATGTGTGCTAGCTAATAAGCATGTGCTGTCCTCTCTTCTGTCTACGTATGGCTGTTTGAGGTACGTTTTAATCAGTACTTCGTTTGAGTATAACTCGACGCATTCTTGTTTCGTTTTACATATAGTGGTAACGCGTTACAACATATATATGAGAGAAGATTTAGATAAACTGAAAAATTAGTTATTTCCAAGCTCTTTCTGGATACATATATACCCAACTTATTCTTGATATAAAGTATATTTTCTGCTTGGATTACCACCAAACTTGCTAAAATGGATAATTCTGAAATAATGAGAACCAATGATGCAACAGTAATCAAACGAAAGAAAACTGGGAAATTTGGACGTTTTCTCTCACATTTCAAACGTAAATCACATCATACAACAGATTCAAAGTCGAAAACATCGATGGCATCGACACAACCATCTACAGAAACCATATCTACAGCAAGTACTCATGTGCGAGGTTGTTCAACATTTTCCAACTGGTTTACTAGGGGTAGAGACAATGTTCATGATAAACGGCCAACTGTTAAACAAAAGAAGTATAAAGAAGTCCCAGGAACTGTGATTGTAAGTCATATGTTTTTCAATGTCCAATGTTAACTTATGATAAAAATAATAATGTGAAACAGTAATAACCATTAATTCATGAAATTTATTGCCTTAATGATGTACAATAAATTTCAGATAAAATCTCAATTCATCGAAAATCTTTCATGAAAGTAATATGTTGAAAGTTGGTTGATTTGAAGATACGTTTTATCACCCATAAAAGCTGGAAAATTGTGACTCGTGTAGCCAAGTTATCTAAGAATGAGAACAGGTTTGCATCGATGACACTGAATATTGATTACACTGCATTACAAATACACTGAAGTCAGTAAATAGGAACTAGTATATTCCATCCTGTTAGTAGGATAGTCGCCTACGATCTCAAAAACCTGGGTTAGCCCCTGTATGTGGTCGAAGGCTCACTCTGTTAATATGTCATCTACTGGAGAAAAAGTGGTTGTGTAACACGCTCTCTGATTTTCTTGTGATAAAAACTATTATTAAAACTATGAAATATTTTTGGTGATTTATCAAGGCTGTTGACTTTCATCTTAGATACTAGGATTCATTTTAGAGAATCATGTCAGTGAAGCAGAAACATCGAAAGCACATAAGTAAGAAGAAAGTAAAAGAATAAGTGAAATCTCTAGATGAGCAAACTGAGGTGATATCAGTTCAGTAAATTATCACTTCATGGGAAAAATGTTTTTTGTCTTAAAAGTGACCGATTAAACAATGTTTTATTACGATGACCAAAATCCTTATCCTTCAACACATTTATTTTGTAGTTTGTCTGGTGGTTAGCAGTGGAATCCAGTATACGCATTTCACCCTATTTTGGACTCATCAGCTGAATGTACCTGCACCTCAGTGAGTGGTGTTGTTCCTATTGAGATTCAAACCCACATGAACATACTTAACTGATGGGGTTCATCCTCAGTTGCTTACACCTTTTCGAATATACTCACCAATACTGTCGATTGGTAGATCTGGTTCACAACAACCTAAGTTATCCGGTTGTAAATGTCATCAAGTTACAGACCACAAGACCAGCTATTGTTTCGTTGTCTTTCATAGTGAGTGCATTCGAGGCTGTCACTGCATAAAGTTTAACCCAGTGGAATATTCAAGTTAAACAATAGTGCATGACAGTCTATCTCTTTTTCCTGCTATTTTGTGTTTCACTGGACACTCGATAATAAAAAAACACTGTCATAACGGACTGTCAGTAATTAGGAATTGGTTACTTTTGAATACTTAATAAGTTCTAGCATCTTTTTCCTTAGCGGTGATGTTTTATCAAAGTTTTATCAAATACCTGGCTATCAACTAGGTAGTTAAATGTGTTATAAACACTACAAATGGCTCCAATATTTTGCTGCAAAATAATTTTTAGAAACCTTTAATCACTGAACACTTGCAGTTATGATTAAACTCCGAGTATCGCACTACTTTTATTTCTCGATATTCCTGCAGGTGTCTAAATTTACCTTAGTATTTTATTCATGTAAGCTATTAATTTCCTTACATGCTCGACTCTTCAGTATATTTGTGGATGTGTGGAGGATTGATGAAGTTATTCAGCTCTGTTTAATAGTACGACGTTGGTATTTTATCAGTTGGATCATTCCAACTCCCAAATTTATGTTGAAAATACATAAAAGTATTTTTTTTATTGAACACTTGAAAGGACTTAGTGGAAAGTTTGAAAAAATGTTTTCTTGATAGCGTTAACATTCATATAACACACTAAATACACCTAATCGAAACACAAAACAATTTTTAAATTAGTCGCTAAATTCTGCCTCGGTGGTTATCATCATTTCACTCATTATCTGGTGGCTGACTCATGCCTATTGCCTTAACTAGTCAAAGTCATCTCAAACACTGATCAATGTATTGCATGTACGCAGTGAACTATTGATTGTTTTTATAATTAAGGTCATTAGCATGTTGCAACCTAAAACATGTATTGTGTTTTCCATCAATGTCTGTGCAGAACATAACTGACTTTCACACTCAGACAGGTATTTATGTATGAGATATAAACATACACAGGAAGAAATATGTGTATGCTTGTAACTGGCATGAAAACGATTCTCCATCTCATGATTACTAATCATGTCGTACTTTTCTTGATGGTGGTTAGTAGTGGGATCTAGGACGCGCTTTTCGTTCTGTTTGGCACTCATCACTTGGATATACCTCCTTCCCAGTTAGTGATGTTGTTCTCATTGCCAACCACCATCAAGTAAATTACAATAATTAGGCAGTAATGAGGCCTGTACATAGCAGTCCATATACCAACAGAGGTAGATCAATTCGATCCAGAACAACAACTCGAAATCTTTGTCTGCTAACGGTGATTATTCGAAATTAAAAAAGGCCTTTCAAGATTTCGTTAACAACTGACATTAGGTACATAACCAATAAAGGATACTTGACAGCTGTCATTTCCTAGTTCGGTGTACATTATCAACAGGAATTCCGATGAAGTCTAGCAACTCTATATCAAGTAATGGTTGTTCCACTATTTAGTCATATTGTCACACATTTGGTGGTTTGTGCTCCCTGACTCCGGTTGGATCATGCATACTGTTAGATCTAATAAATTCACGGCATCCAGTTGAGTGGCTTGTAGGAGACTAATCGACTTCAAGTCACGGTTTACTATGGAGTTACATCACCCACAGAAACCAGCGTAAACCACTCTGAGTAATGAACGTGTTTCTTGGTAACTGACGTAATAAAATGCGTGGACAGCTCTATTCCAACTTAGTGTCTGGATGCTTAAATATTCACCAGGAGTTCTAAAGGTTCTGAAGTTAGTCTTCAGTACAGTTAAAGACTCCTAAAAAGGGGAGTGTGAAGTCTTCGATGGTCTCTAGTTCTTTAGACTTGCAGGTCTATACTGAGAACTTATTTTTATATCCCATCTGCTATTCTATTCACTCAACTAAACCTCACAGGTTTGTTCAACAGTCAATGTTCTCGTGTTCTCTATTATATAGCACACCTATAACTAAAATTAAGACTTGTTATTTTCTCTTGGGAGAGTTGAGAGTACACCAATCAGTCACAAGTGAGAAGCCAATGTAACTGTCTAATCTTGAGTACTCAGCACCGACCGAAGTCTATCGATCAAATTTCGCAGAATGGCCGCCAATTCAAGTGACATGAGACTCCAGAGCACTGTGTTTTAATATTAGTTTTCGGAGGCCACTGTGCACGAAGCTGTGAACCTAGGCTTTGTACTTTTTGACGGTCATGAGTGTTAATTTTGGTTTCTTAGGTCTTCTCGAATTTTCCAACTGGATCAGACGCTTCTAATTAGGCTCACGTACATGAAAACGGTATACAACTGAGGCCATACACTCTTAATAACAGAGAAGGCCCCAGAGTACCAAACAGCTGTATGGGCTACGTATTGATGGCCATTTCGCGTACATAATCCAATCCTATTGAAGATCGTTCGCGGCTTGAAATGCTTAGTGATTGACCTTATTATTGAGTGAGGTAGGTTGAAATCAACGGAAGGACACTAGTTTCTCCATGCTTGCACATATGCCTGACTGATGATTGCCAGCAAACAAAAAACCCAGATCAAGGCCCTTTCACCCACTCACTCCCAACATTTGATACCGAGAGTTGAAAGTGATATACATTCCTGTACAAGCTCTGTCTGTCTGACCTGAATACTCTTCTTATTATAAACGTAATTGCCAACACTATAACTCATGACTGAATCATTTCTACGAATGTTAAAATATCATTAAAGTTTTTGGTGACACAAAGGACAGGTGTTCGAATTTTTACTATGAAACACTTCATTAACCCACAGCATCTTCACTATTGAGTCAACCAGTTAGGATGGTGAATCCATCACTACTTACAATAACTTCAGTCAGTTATTAGTGTAAGAGTGAGGCTAGACATCGTGGGACTGCATGGTTCTATTTTGTTAGCTCATTAGACGAATCACAGCGTGAAACGGTACGGTTTACTGAGTGACATTACAAGCACCATCTGTGCTAATAATTCTATCCAACTAATCAGGAAACTTTTTTTTGGACAGTAATGTATTGAATCGACATGTAGTAAGAGTAATAAAATGATTCTTTCTATATAGTATGATCCTTTAAATAAGACAATCCTACTGTCCTCATGTGAACATGCAATGACTAACTCTTTGTTGCCATCAGCTCTATTAATTCTGTGATGTGCTCTTTGACTAGGTGTTCATAGTACTTCCGTTTCCAGTTTTCTAATTTTAGACAAGAATCAAGTACATTACTACCGATGAAATCGAGGCAAATAGACTAAATGAGTGACATCAAAGTAGACAAAAGTCTATACTTTGTCTTGAATAGATCAAAGATCAAAGGAGCCAAACAAGGTCATAAGATTAACAGGATACGAACACCTAATCAAATATGAATTATTGGACTTTAGCAAATTGAGGAGTCTGGAAAAGACACCAGTCACAGTTAAACATACTTTCACATGCAATCCCGACATAGAATAGAATAGAGTGAAAGTCTTTAAAAATACCTTCAGTAGAATAGATGGATAGGGATTGAAACGTCAATCTTTGTTTATCTAACTGACATCTAACATCTGTAAAACTAATGGTTCAACAATGTGAAAGAAGAATATTCTTTGAATAAATTCTCTTCAGGTTCTACAATTATAAAATGCATTTGTACAGCATGAGATCAAACCATGTTAGGTGCAGATCCCCTTACAAAATGGAGTGAGATTTAATGACTGTAAGGAAGTCAATTTTTTTCAATTTTTCAATATTGAGATGATACACATAGAGGTCAGTGATATGATAGTGAACAAAACGATAACGAATAAATTGGCAGGAGTGGCCTTTAGTTTACTGAAGGCCAACGGGAAAGTAGCGCTTGGATATGTTCTTCTTGAATGCGGAGTTCAGGTCTGATCATTCTTATGGCGACAGCCTCCTCTATGCTGAGCAGGCGTTGGCGAGCTATATGTGGTATCTTTTTTGG